TTTATGACTGCAAAGGGGTGCTTTACTAAGGGACCATGCCCTCAATAGAGACATAAACAGGATGCTACAAGAAACAGTTTAAAGGAAAGACTAAGCACCTTTTCATTCTCCCCTCCAAAAATTCTCTGGGAAAGCATCTCTTTCATGTCACAACTAAGAGCTGGCCCGAAGACATTATATGCATTGATGTCTATGATTTGCCCAAATACATATGTCATGAGCAAAGCAGGAACAAGTGGGTAGACTGCAATAGGAGAAAAACTGCCAAAAGCATATATTTCTGCGAAATTAGTAGTTCTCTTTTTTGCAGTAAAGACATGAACCAACCAGTCAGTGTTGTACTGAAAATGACAGTTTTGGAGGTTTTTAAAACAATAGATTTTGTGCCCTGTTTTCACTGTAAACTCTCAGCGGCTACATCTGCATACTCAGGGGGGGAACCCACAGCTCACTGCAGCGTTGTTTGGCTTTGCACAGTGTCTTGTTTTGCATGTCTTCCAATAAGATGCGTGCTTGGAGTAAGCACATGGCTACTTATGCCTATAGCCTCTTTAATAAAAAAACACAAAACCATTGGTAAAAAACATAATTATCAATTATCATCTGTTGCATCTAGATCGAGCCAGTGCCTTTTTTTTTGTTGAGGCCTAAATCTCCCAGCATTTGGTATTAGGAAAATATAAAAACAGCAGTAAAAGTCTATCCTATAAAGACAAAATGTGGATAAAAAGGTTTTGGAATTGTCAGATGCAGGATGTTAGAAACCAATGGGCAATTAAGAAGATGCCCTTTTCACCAGGAGGTTAGTACTGCCTAAAGTCTATGTACTATTGCTGTAAGATGACATATTTGGTGAATTGACGCTATATAAATATTAACAGAAAACTACTGCTAGCTCGCTGCAGCTCTGAGACTGTCAGGCTTTAATGAAGATACAAAAGTTTTATGTTGTAACTAAATTGTGTGCTCAGCTTTGTAATCCGCATGCAAGGAATACCAAATATGCTCTTGATTGGCAGACAAAGCAATTGTAGGACAACAAGGATGCTTATTAGGGACAATGCCAGAAATGGTCAGCTTTTTCAGCTATGACTTTCTTCTGCAACTCAAATATATAATTTTGCTCTATCCAGTCCCCTCAGCATGAAATTTTAAAATAAGTATGGTAAACCCCCTTCTCGAACTGTCACCTTAACGTTGTGGAGGTGTTTCACTGTTTGGATGATTCAATAAGTTGGTATCAGATTTAAACACCCCTGGTTACAGTCCTCTAATGCAAAAAGGCTCTAGGTGGTGAGTCAGAATAATGGCGGTTCAAAATTCTCATACCATCATAAGCATAAGGATGTTCAACTGTGCACTTGGCACTAGGACACTGTAGCCCATGTGTCAATGATTGAACTTGTAGTTAGTTGTTTCTTCTGACTTTTGGCTGTATGTCTGAGCTGTACACTTATCACCACCTGTTGGTGAGTTCAGTATGCAGGAATAGGAAACCGGACATACTCAGCAGGTCTGGGCAAATAGTGAAGGTCTCCTGGCAAAGTCTGGAGGAGCCCTCGGTCGGGAACGTATTCAATTCTCACCTCCAGGAGAACTTCTCTCAGATTCCAGGGGAGGCATGGGGCATTGTTTCAAAGTAGATCATGTTCTCTGCCTAACGGCTGCCTCTATCTGACGCTGTAAGGTCTACAGTGCTTGTCATTGAGGAAACCCATGAACCCAGTAGTGGAAACCTGCAATAAGGAATGGTGTCAAGATGAAGTATTGGGATTTGGAACACCTGAGGCATCAAGCAGTTACCATGAGGCCAATGTTACCACTGCATGGGAGGTCGCAGAGGCAACAAATAACAATCAAGTCCTGGGACATGTTTGGAGAGACCATAGAGAAAGACTCTCTGTTGGCTCTAAAGGAAACTGTCCAGTGCCTCCGGAGGAAAGAATACTTCGAGGATCTCCTCATTCCAGCTGAAATGCCATCCGTGTTGGAAACAGAGAAAGGGGGATTGGTGACTAAGTGAAGTAACCTAGCATACAGTGTGCTGTATTTTCTTTTTCAAGATAGTTTAAATTAAACAGTTATTGATATAGATTAAAATTCTCTACCTGATCTGCTTTATTTCAAGAGCAACATGCACAGGTTGGTCAAAAAATGGGGCTGCTTTGCATTTTGACTGACAAGCTTTGTTTTCTTTATATTCAGGAAAAGTTCCTGTGGAATAATTTTGTTGGCATCTTTAGAATTCAATCCAATCCTGGGCTGGAGATTTTTAATTTGTGAGAAACTGGGACAAGAGTAGAAATTTCAGCACAGTTCACCACAATTCAAGACATCTGGTCACTCTACTTGGTGCAGTGCATGATGTGCATGAACAATACACTGGTGCTGATCAAGCTGCTGTGAACAACAATATAACTTTTGATGGGTTAAGATTAAGTAATTGCAGTGCCAGTTCTAGCTGCAGCTGCTCATACATATACATTGATCACCAACCCCTAAACTGCAATGATACTGTCCTATGAATGAGTGATGGATTGCTGCATCCTTGAAGACTGGTTGGATTTCTTTGTATTTTCCAATAGCCCATAACATTTTTTAGAAAATGTATAGCGATTGAAAAAGAACAGGAATAACAAGAAAGTGGAAAGATGTTTGTCTTTTAAATGAACATAAATATTGCACTACAGTTTTGTAATTAATCTTTTACACATAAGAAGAGTGAGTCAAATGAGAGTTCAGTCAGTAGCTATAGAGACTGTGGCCAAACAGCTTCTGTTACCACTCAGCTGGTTTGTGACCCCAAAAAAAGTTGAGGCCGATTTCTCCTTAAACTATTTCAATTCTTTTTCAATTTCCACAAGTTTGACAATCATTGGAAAGTTTAGACCCTACCTTTGGGATCCATTAATAACTCAAGAGAACCATGCATAGACCTGTGACATCCTGTCACATATAAGTTTTGTCTTTAGCACCAAGGTGACACAGAGCTATTTTTCAGAACTTGCTTTTGCTACTTGCAGCATTTTTTATTTGCATGTGTTCTGTGTTTTTATCATCATTAATGTGTTCAAGAAAGTTTAGTGTTTGTACTACATTTATGTTTTTTGGAGAGTGACTGCAAATTTTACTGTTGCTCCTAAAGATTTTGTGAAGTTCTTCTTAAATAGGGTAAGTAGGCATTTTTTTTAGAAATTGATTTAAAAAAGGGGCAAGGGTGCCTCAGGAGGTACGTGTTAATTTGTAACCCACTCTATCCCTCTCTGTTGTTGTTTCTTTGAGCAAAACACATCATCTCTCTTAACGTCTGTTGATGGTCAGAGGGCCTGGTGGGGCTGACTGTATAAAAAGCCTTGCTTCTGTCAATCTGAAGTAGCTACAATGTAGCTTTCCACCATCTGCATATGTGTATATATATATATATATATATATATATATATATATATATATATATATATATATATATATATATATATATATATATATATGTATGTGTGAATGGATAAATTGAGTACTTGATGTATAGTAAAAAGCTTTGTGATCCTCAGACTAGACAAAGTGCTATGTAAGTACAGTTCATTAGTATTTACCATGAAGAAAACTCGCTCCATTTGGATTGAAAGAGGTCGTAGCATTTGTATAACATCTTTTCATAACCTGAAAAGTTGGACTACTACTGATGGTTCCAGCACCTCTTAATAATGCATGTACTTTCTTTTGGATGTCTGCGTCTCCCTCCTTAACTTGCTTCTCAAAGGATCTGATCTTAGCTAGGCAGTGGCCATGGATATACTTAAAGCAAGGCTTTAGTACGCAAAATAATGATGCTAATAATTGTGGAGGGCACTGCATTAACTCACTACCCAAATACATCAAGTTTTGAAGATATTTAAGAAACCTGAAGTTGGAGTTAAAAAACAATTAACCATATAAACTGGACATCAAACATGCTTGGAACCATGACACTTCACTTTTAGACACAAAAGATATACTTTAATTGGGTGCACTGAATAAATAGCCAGCCAATGACTTACCTTTATTTGAACTAAATCTTATCTGACATCATCTTTACAATTAAGGATTTTATTCAAGCATCTGAGCTTAAGTGAAGAGTTTTACCAAGTGAGACTGACTGGGAGGGTTATTGGTGGGGATTCAAGATGAATGACCTCTGCCTGACTCTCAACCATTGGTTTTGGGAGGTTGTAAAGTTGTAGACGAGCGGGTCAGAGGTGCGACACAGTGTCGACCTTGGTGTGCCATGTTAATGATGACCGATGCTCTCCAATTAGATCTGCTGACAGGCCCTTAAGCGCTGTGTCATTAATCACGACACTGTCGTGCACAAAGAGAAAATCACACCATGATTTATTGCTTCTCTGCTTCTCTTTTCTCACTCTCTTTCCCATCTTCTCCTTGCTTCAGTGATCTAAAAGGGATTCTTGCTTGCCAATTTGAAACTTGATAAATCAGTGGGCATGGGTTAAAATAATATCCTATTTTGTGCAGGACTTGCAGGAGAGAATTTATTTTTTCTGATGACAAACTTGTAAGCCTTTCTTTGAATGGCATGACTGACATCAGAAATAGAAAAGCTATGTTGCTTTGTAATATTGCTGCATTACTTGTGTTTTGGGTTCCTCTAGGAAACTTCAAGCAGACTGCTAACAAAGTTATCATCCCGGGGACAAAGGAAACTGGAAATAACTTCTGGGGAAGGACATCAGATTTACAGACTCATGCATGCCGATCTGGCCGTGCTCCATCACATAAACTCACCATACAGCAATACCAACTCACTAATGCACACAGACAGTGCAGGATCCTACAACCTGAGGACAAGGGACATCAACACCGATAAGGCCAAAGGGAGAAGCGAGAAGGGCTTGCAGGAAGGGGTAAAAGGGAATGGGAAGTGGATCAAGTGGGATTTCGTGGGGAGGTTATAGGCAGGCAGACGGTGCGGGGATGGGGTGGGTAGCAGTCCATACTGTACTCACATAGTCTGAATCCGCTTTGGAATCGTAGTATGAAATGGCATTTTCCTGTGCAGAAAAGAAAAGTAAGAAGAAAAGGTGGTGAGAGAAGATATAGCTGTGCCTATATCAGCTCCCGACCTGTGGTGGTAAGCAGGAGAGAGAGAGAGAGAAAGTCTTGTTTATATTCAGTCACACTGTTCAGCATGAGAATATAATCAGCATCACAGAACACAGGAGTAGTGTGATGTAGAATGCTTGTCATGACAAAGCAAGATGTATTAAACCAGTGTTTTGAGCACAAGTTTGGAATCTTGTGATGTGAAACAAAATGTAGTGTGAGGTCAGATGGTTTGCAATAAAACAAGAACAAGGCACCAGCAACGCCGCAAAGCTTTTTTCTAAAGCTGACATGTCTTATATCTTCAAGGAAACTCCACCAAGATAACTTTGAAGAAATATTAATGCTACACCCCGGGACAGTTATCAAATTTTTACTTTTATAGGGAACTAAAAAAACAGTACTACTGATTACCTATTCACATTAAATCAAAAAGTATCATGTTTTGGCACCTCAGGGCACCACTGTGAAACAGAGAGACTAAAACACAGGACTGATGGCAGAGGCTGCTGGCACAGTGACCATAAAAGAAAGCAGCATTGGTAGTAATCTCCAGGCAAGTAAGTACTGCATAAGATGGTATTATTATGGTAAAAAAAAATAGATACCACTGAGTACCGACACAGATTCCAAGGTGCTAGCATCAATACTGAATTAGTAAGGAAGATACTCATTTGCCATCTTAAAAGAAACAGGATCCTTATACTTGTAAACATGTACATATACATACATACATACATATATATATATATATATATATATATATATATATATATATATATATATATATATATATATATATATATACATACATATATACACATATACAGTATATAAATGTATATATACATACATATATACAGAGAGAGAGGATAAATATATTTTGTCTCATAGTCTTTGAGCTTCTAGTAAAATCATTCTAGTACCATTCTTACCCTTAAAGCAGTAGTGGGTGTGCACAAAATAGGCCTCTGTGCTGTTATTTTTCAAAAGCTTTGTTTTCCATTTTCATGGATCAGATACACATATATACACAATCTTTACTTTGTAAAATTGCCTCTTGCCTTACCAACAATTTAGTTTGCATTTGAAAGAGTGATGCAAAAAACTTGTATGAAAAATATCTCTGTTGTGAAAAAAGGGTCTTCACCTCTAGCTTTTATCCTTTACTTTGAGTTTTACCAACCTCTGCTGTTAATGTTCAGCCGTAGTTCCCAGCAGAGGGTAGGCACCCACACCAAATAAGAATGAAAATATACAACACAGTGTTAAACAGTTTTGTTCCGCTTAACCACTTGACTCTCTAGCTACAGGCTGAGGCTCCAGATTCATATTTTTATGACTAAGAGCTTACACTATCCTCATGCTCAGCTGTTGGCTACCCAGTTGTCCTCTTTTCCCTCTCAGCTGGAGTCCTTATCAGCCTCCCAGGTAGTCAGTGGTTGCATTTGGTGGGCAGCATCCATATGGTCTGCCTCATTATCATGAGGAGAGACTGTCTGAGAATGTGCTCTCAAGGGCAACATGGTTACTGCTGCACTCTCACAGCCAGCGCTGCGGTCATGATCTGGTGAGAGAGGCTAGCTGACAAAGAGACAGCCTTTTGTTGTGGTGAAGTAAATCTTACACAGCTAAGACTTCCTTTCAGACTTCCCATTTCTTTTCATCTCAGCATTACACTAAGTTTTGTCATGCATTATAACTTCCTTTATTTCTTCCCACATGCTTCCTTTAATTTTTTTAGACTAAAACCCCTTTCCTAGGATTCCCCCTGCACATTTCTCTTGGAATTTGAATAAGAATTTCAAACTGTGAAAAAAGGACACTTGGATAAAGACCTAAAACATTGGGTGCTGTTAATAGGTAAACATGCTTGGCTTAATATGCCTTTATGTGTAAAGTAATAAAGCCTGGAAGAGGGATTACATTTTATGCTTATTAAGAAGGAGAAAGTAAATAAGAAATAAACCTATTAAAGGTTAAATCTACTTAAATATAACTGAAATAAAATTTATTTGGAGGTGTATAGCAAAGTTTCCTGACCAAACAACATACCACTTTGTAATTTCTTAATTTTGTCATGTCAAAACCTGAAATTGGGATTTTATAAAATAGACTGACAAAACATTGTACAAATTTAAAGCAGATGGCAAACGATGGATGGTTTGCAAAATGTGTTTTAAAACATCTAACAAGTATAGTGTATACAACAATTTGATCCCTTTCTTTCATCCATGAATAATTTTCATGTAAGATAGTCGCAACATAATTATGTGGAAATGTTTTACTTAAGCAATGATACAACAAACAGTGAATAAAAGAGGGAGAGGATGGGTAAGACCTTAAAATGAGACAGAGGTTTATCTGTCAGCAGGAAAATAGCACTAAACATACAGCAAGATAAAAGTATGTTTATGCGTTTTAATAAGGCAGACCTAAAGATAATTGAGAAACTGCAACACAAGAGAAAATTTAGATTTCTCAAATAGTCTATATACAGGCTAACTAAGGGGGGATTTTTCAAAGGAATATAGAAAACAGTTTGTAGATATGATATGATATGCTAGTAAGGACCTTAATCCAAAATACATGCAGTTAGAATTGCATACATACATAGGTGAAGTATTGGAAATTGAAAAAGAGCTAAAGAACATACGACCATTTCAAGGTTGGCAATCTCTGAAGTAATTTATGGAGACAAGTTTTTTGTTTATTCATTTTTTTAATCAACCTGAATGCAAGCTGAGTGTTTGCAAAAACTGTTTATTTGAATACATTTGCACACCTTTTCCCAATACCCCCCCAGCAGTGCTTGTACTTTGCATTAAACAGACCAACATATTTCATTTATCTAAACAATTACAACACCAAATTTCTCAGTAACAGCAACGCACACACGTGTGTCTTCATATTTCGTGGGGACTTTTCAGTCATTTCCATTCATTTGCATGGCCTAACCCAGACACCCTGACATAACCAACATATATCTAAATCTAGCCTAAACTGAATTCACACCTTAGGCCTAAACCCTAAACCCAAGAAAACAATATTTCCTTATGGACACCAGTTCAGGTCCCAACAACTGCCTGTAAATCCCTTAGACTGTAGCATATTTTAACAAAAATTCCCCTCATACTGTCTCCACCAGGTTACAAAAACAAACCCACAGACACACATACAAATTTGGGGAAAATTGTTGATTCTCTTCATCTTGTTGGTGTTCCGTAAAAATTCAAAAAATATCCACTGGACTTGGTTTTCAAGATTTGAAGACGTTTCGCCACCTCTCCAGGAACCTTTTCAGGTATTACAGGAGACAATCCCCCCCTTAATGGCAATCCCCCGCTTTAACGACCGACCCCTAGAATCATAGACAGGTTCAGATATTACAGGCTAACGATGGAACTAAACGACCCATTCATCGGTTACCATTGCATGTTTCCAAGCAATACAAGGCCTTGTCCATATAAGACTCAAACTCACTGCGGATCCAGACATTTGAATTGAGAAAGCTTCCTGGAGAGGTGGCGAAACGTCTTCAAATCTTGAAAACCAAGTCCAGTGGATATTTTTTTGAATTTTTACGGAATGACTATGACCTGGATGACTGAGAACCTTCATCAGCATCTTGTTGGTGTTTGCAAATAACAAATGACAGCAACTTGTTTGGAAATTAACATCAATTACTCAATAGTAGGAACAATATGCTGAAAGACAGCAGTTTGTGTGATAGTAATCAATGTGTGTGTGTGTTCAGAATACAGCTATGAATAGAGCTATGCGGTAATTGGGCTTAAGCCTTTGAATAGGTAATCTACAAGAGGCCTGAGATTCAATTCAATTCAATTCAGTTTATTTATATAGCGCCAAATTCACAACACATGTCATCTCAAGGCACTTTACAGTTCAACCAGATCATACAGTCAAATTGATACAAAGTTTTCTATCTAAGGAAAACCAGTTGATTGCATTGACTCATTGACTCAAATACAATCCCCCACACTAAGCATGCTTGTAGCGACAGTGGAGAGGAAAAACTCCCTTTTAACAGGAAGAAACCTCCAGCAGAACCAGGCTCAGTGTGAGCGGCCATCTGCCGAGGCCGACTGGGGTTCAAGGAGACAGAAGCAGAGATACAAAAAGCAGCTGTAAAAGGCGGCCCCGTCCAGGAAACACACAGCCAGGCAGACGAGCTCCAAGGCAGCTCCCATGCCAGAGATGAGCATGAGATGCAGTCATTAGGTCAGCAACCATTAATTATTGTGTCTGGAAACCCTTGACTTTAATCGGCCGATTTAGTTGGGTGCTGTGCCGTGATACATGAACTTAAATTTAATATGATGCATCGTAATAGTTTATTTTTAGGTTTTCAAACTCATCATGGAGAAACAGTTTTGTTACCAATAGAGATGTTCTAAGACCATTTTTTTCTCTCCTGATATAATTCTGATGCTTGTGCTGGGGGTATTGGCAGATATAAACTACCAATATTTTAAAGGTCTGACAGATCACCCAATAATGTTTTCATCCAATCTCGTCCTGTCAATGAAAACTGAAACCCATGAGTTGTCATGTTTTCGTCATCAAAGATCCATGTTTAGCTCGTCAGTTCTCATTATCGTCATGAAAAAAAGGAGCGTCAACGAAATGATTTCATCATCGTTGACGAAAACAACACTGGTTAAAACTTGATACAACACATTTACGGTGTAAGTCAGTCTGGCTCCCTTGACCACTGACAGAAGAACAACAAGTAGTAAAAAGAGTAAAATCTCTAGCCTTACAATAGCTGCTCTATATGGCACTTCTAAAACTGGAACACACACAAACTGTAAATACCTTTTTAAAATCTTGGCAATGTGCAAATTAGGTCAGTATTTTCTCTATTCTCTATTTCCCAAATGGCGAGCTATTCTGCAGATTTCAGATGTTTGACTGATATAAGCAA